CCAGCTTTTCTGTGCTTTCGGTTCAGGGTGGTGGGGACAGATTTTGGCAGCCTAACCTGCATCTCCTTAAAGCTGCAGGCAGCACATCCTCCTGTCCCGGTCCTGGGCATCGTATCCATTTAGACAGAACCCTGGGATCTTCCAGAATAAAAGGATCCTTATTGCAGGAGTTGGAAAAGCGTCAGGAGGGATGAAATATTTCCCCTCCACACCAAACAGGGAACCTTTTCTTCCAGCGCTGCTTTAGGACTTGCTCCTGCAAGGTCTTGTCTGTCAGCAAATGCAATCAGCTTTAAGAGCCTGAATTACCACGCTGGAAATGACTGGGAATTGTTTTGGTGATATAAAACCCGGCAAGCGCGGAAGTTCTCCGGCAGATTTGGGCCAGCACGCTCAGCACCCGGCAGGAAGGAGCCTTTGGTTCTCAGAATCATTCCTGGTGTCCAGGACAGCCACTCATCAGGGCTCCATGCAGGGAGCTTGGGTTTCACTGCCTTGGAAGATATTCCTCCCACCCCGCTGGGACACAGGGGCTCCGGCTGATTCGGAAAACAAAATGGTTAACGGCGTTTTCCCGAGTTTTTCCAGCGAGCAGGTTTGAGGTCTGTCACAAGCCGAAGAATTTGCAGGAATGGTGTCAATCTGATGTCACAGCGGCAATAAATCCTATTGTGCTGGATTACATTCTGCCCATTAAAACTGCTCTGACCCATTGTCATCCAAGTGGAACCACATTCCACTGCCTGCTCAAAAGGTTCTGATTTCACTCCCGATTGTTGCCAGGGCAACTGCACCTCCATCCAAAACTGCCTCGCCAATCACTGAACTGCGTTTGAGCAGACTGCAGATAAAGCAAAGCACTAATTACTTATTCCCACTGAAAAAGTCCAAATCAAACCTTTCTGAGGCCTGAATAGCAGAAACTCGAAGGAGTTGCTGGAGGGTTACTTGGGGTTTTTTTGCATGAGGCACCAATTGCCTCATTTCTTTGTGGAATAACTGGTTGTGGTGACAAAATAGCATGAAAATATTAATATTCTAAAGTCTATCCAGAGCAAGAGTGCACTGGAAATCTCACCACAGGCCGCTCCTGGAAAGCGTCCTCACTCAGTTGTGGAAAACTGAAAGGATTTTCATGAATAGTCAAACAGCTGCTGAAGGCTCGTGAGTGGAAATAGAAATATCTGAATTTCCCCGTTGAGATTTCTGGTGGAAAGTGGCCTGTGTTTTATGGCCTCTGCTTTTATGAAGTGAATATCATCTCCGTGGCTCAGATTCGTCCTAATCTATCTCTGAGTGGGACAAAGCCAGGTAGGAAATTGCTCTTTCTCCCAGGGCTGCTGGGAATCAGCATTTCCTGGAGAGCAGAAGGGGCCACTTGGCCATCCAAAACCGGGTCTGTAAAGTCAGGAGTGAGCAGGGCCAGGTGATGCAGGTTCTAAACAGTTATAAACCACTCCTAAACAGTGCCCTGATGTTGAAATGCACAAAATTTGGTTCCAATTTGAAACCAGCTTGGGAGAGAATATTTTAAAAGGAGCTGGAGATGTTTTGTGAAGTTGTCTCAGGAATGGAGATGCCTTTATTAAACATGGAAATTTTCCAGCGTTTTTCCAGTAAAATTTTACTCTTTTATCCTTTCACACTCCTCTGTGAGCCCATCTTGGTTTTCCCTTGAAGAAAAATTGTCTGAAAAAAATGTTTGTTCACCAAATTTACTTTTTTTTTCTTTTTTTTTCAGTTTGTTTGCCAGACCGTTGATTTTTACCAAATGTCAGTCTTTAGATCTTCTCTGAGAAATGTTGACCCACTGTCCTGTACCATGACAGCAAGGAGAACCCCAAAATTAATTCAATGTTTCCTCAGCTGTTTCTTTCCAGAGGGAATGAAGGGCTGGAACCCTCTCCACCCCAGCATGTCAGCACAAAGAGCAGCTGAGGAGTTGGAGATTGTCCTCCCCTGCATGCACCCTCAGAACATGAATTTATCTGCTTTAAAAAGAGGAACCAAGGATGGAATCATGGCTGGAAAACGCAAGAAAGGAGCAGTTCCTCTTGAGATGCAGCACAGCCACTTCTCGAGTTCCAGCTCTGCCTCCTGCCAGACAGGACAGACAATTCCTCTTTTATAGCTGAAGATGGAAAGATGAAGAATGAAATCAAGACCTTAGCCTGGTTTAAAAGCAGGCAGAAATGTGGGGTGGAATTTGCTTGTGTTTATCACGTGGAGGGTTAATTGCACAATCAATTACTGCAAAGGGCGCTCCCTTCCCAAACCTCTCACCAAAACCTCGGGGTGGGAATACTGGGCAAGAAAGGCGACAAATGACAGAAAAAGGGGCAGAGCATCAGGCAATCTCCGGAATTTCAGCCACACCAGGGAACACTGAGGTGAGGGTGAAGCATCCTGGTGAAAGGCTTACCTTAAAAAAATCGAAACCCCCTCTAAAACATATCCCATAAACCCAAATGAAACCCATCTAAGAGAAAACACTGTAAGATAAAAAGATGTCTTGCTATTCATTCAAGCCTCTGGTTTACATGGTCTATAAAATGATATATGCAATCTACCATATATGTGCCTTCCAGCGTATTCCACCTTAACAAATTGTTAAAAATTAAGAAAATAAAAATGATTTATACCTTCAATTATTATGGCACATTTTATATTTATACCATATATTTTTATGGCACCATAAAAGTCCTTATCAGATACTGAAACAAAAGCCCTTTATCCCTTAACCGTATCGAGCTCTTCATTTTAAAAGCGAGGTGAGGGAAAAGTGAGGTGAAAGGCAGAAACTTTCTGAGTGTGAAGTGTTTTCCTCCTGACCTTTCCACTGCTCAGAACCTCTGCTGGCAGAGGGGCTGCTCAGATTTCGACCTTTTTTTCCCGGGAACGCGTTTTTTGCTAAAGTTTTAGTTCTTTGGGAGAAGCTCCCCGAACAAACGAGCGATCCCTGCTCCTTCTGCCTCCGCAGTGACAGGCACAGAAATCCCGGGGAGTTCCTGGATGCTAATTCCGACGCTTCCAGCACAGAGCTGCTGCTACACTAATGAAGCCCATCTAAAATACGGATTGCCTGGGTAGAACCTGAATTTAGCGAGTTTGCAGCCGGTTAACTCAGATTGATCAGCCGGCATTTGCTGAGCGCTGCCAAACCATCCATCAAGTGCTGTAATAAAGCCTGGGTTTGTCAGGAATGGATGGGCTGTCCCAGCTCGGCTGATTTAGCAGCCCCGATCTCGTTATCTCACTGCACTCACACCTTTTCCAGAGCAGGAATGGGGAGAGTGCTCCATAATGTCTGCTCTGGTTCCAGAAAAGTCCAGAAGCATCGTGGAGTATGGGGTGGGGGAGAAGAGAAAAGAGAAAGAGGAAAGAGAAGATGCAGAAGTGCTGTGAGATTCATTAGTGAAGTCTTTGCAGATCAGGAAATCCAATTTTCCTCCCGTCCTTCTTTCAGTGACTAATTTCTCTTACTGTAACAAGGAGTAAAAAAGTTTATCTCCACCAAAATTTAAATATTCACTTCCTCTTCTCCACCCACTATGTTCACTGAAAAAGCACTTCCCTCTCTATGCCAGCTTGTGAGCAAGAAAGCTCACAACAATACTACAGAAAACACTCTAAAAGAAGGTTTTTTTATTTATTAAATGTTTATAATCACACTCTGTATCACCATCCCCTCAGGGAATGAGTCAGGGCTCCCAGGAGAGGAGAGGATCCCAGGAGAAAGGGAAAATGATGGAACACCAGGACTTTGCAGAGGTTTTTATCTGGACAGATAAAATCTGGATCCCCTCTGGATTTCCAGGCTTGTGGTGGCCACTGCCTGGAAAAGAGCTTTGATCCACAGCACAGGCAGGAGGATTTGAGGAAGGTCAACAAAAGGAAGATGCAGAAGCCAGGAGTGTGTAACCAAAGCCCTGGCAAAGGCATTCCAGGGCTCTCAGAGGCAGCAGCACTGTCTGTCTCTGGCTCCTTGTGGCTCTGTGTGCCAGGTGAGCTGCTGGGGACAGGTCCACAGGAGTGAACAGCCCAGGGACACAGCGAGGAGAGCAAATCCTGACCACCCTGCCTCTTGTGGGACCTCTCCAGACCCCCAGAAAGGTATCACAGAGTTTTACACCTTAAAATGTTTGCTCGGGGATATAGAAATAGAGGGATTTCTAAGGGGGATGAGCAGGATTCTTGCTTTCTCACCTTTTTTTTGGTGGATTTTCATGGCATAGGAGGGGGCAAAATCTCTCGGCAGGCTCCTTGCCCAGCCCCATCAGTGCCCAGGTGACACAGGCGCTCACACGGACACTCAGATCCAGCAAGCTGTGCCTATTCCTGCTCCCAGTTATCCCAGCAAACCCCGAGCAGGCTCCCAAGGCAGGGTGATCCCTCTGACTCATTGCAGCCAGCCTTTCTCACACTCTGCGAGCCGCAGTCTCCTCGGGGGGAGCTGCGAGCGCCTGTGCTGCTCTGCCCTGCTGGCTCAGGAACCCTCCGGAGATGCTGAGCCCCTCCAGGAGGGACAGAAAGGACAGAAGGGAAGGGAGGAGATGCCAAATCGGGCTCTGGGTGGTCCCACAGCCCATCCCCAGCAGGGCCCGGTGCTGCAGGAGAAGGTGACAGAGCCCTGCAGTTGGCAGCTCCGGAAGGATTTCCCTCCTCTCTGACAAGTTCTCACCCTGATCTGCCGTAATTAGAGCCCGGCTCAGCCCTGCAATTACACAGCTTAGCACCCTCCCTAAGCACGGGATCCAACAAGCTCTGCCTCTCTTTAATATTCAAATTGAGGCGAATTCCAGCCGCACAAACCGTGTTTCCAAACAACAGCGAGCGAGCTGCCAGGTTCCACTCCAAACACCCCTCCAGCTGAACGAGGAGCAGTTTATTCCCACCCGGGCTGCCCAGTTGGTTTAAAGCTCTCTAAGGCAGCAGAATTTCTGTTTTCGTGTACAAACACAGAGGAAAGAGCAATTAGGGAAGTGAGAAATGGGCTTTACCTTAATGTCCTGCTGAGGTTTGAAAGAATCTCTGCTTCACTCCCTCTTTTCTTTTGCTCTGTCTCTCTCCCTCTCTTCTTGCATGGCTGGACTGACAGGTTGGCAGAGCAGAGAACGACAGGTTGGGTTTGTTTTTTTAGACACAACTCCTCCCCCTCTCAAAGAGAAGGAAAAAAAAAAAAAAGAGAAAAAAAGAAAGAAAAAAGAAAGTTCACAGAAAATCCCGTCCTTTCAGCACATTGGAACTGGTGAGAAAAATGCTACTTTGGGGAGCCCAGCAGTTTCCCAATTGTTTTTCTCAAAAAGGCTCAAGGTCCGCTTTGCAATAACTGTGAAGCAACCAAAGGATTTACACCAGGATCCGGCTTGACCCCAAACCTTCCCCATTTCCCTGATAAACTGCTCCAGAGGTAATTACAGCCCCTTCAGAGCAGCCTTGACAGGAGGGCTGTTGAAAAAGTGGAAAGGGCTTTTAGCAGGCAGCACAGACACCTTTGGGCCTTGGATTTTATCCTTGCATCCCAGCACCAGTCTGTGCAACAAATGTCTCCAAGAGATGGCTGAATTCCTCATTTTTCCCCCTCAGAACCCCGTGCTGCTGCTAACCTGCCCTCACAGCGGGTTATTTTAAATTCCTGCTTTACTCCATGCTCTGAATTGGTTGCATAGGGACCAGCTCAGCTCTGTCCCTGTCACCTGAGAGGATCCCAGAGAGCCGGGGGAGGTTTTTAACAGGTCACAGTGACCACAGAAATGAGGTCAGTGTAAAAGGCTTCCACTTCCACAGGCCTTTCCAGGTGTTCTGGCTCAGGTGGACAAAACCCATCCCTGGGAATGTTCAGGTTTTTAGAACCAAGATGCAAACACTGATTTTACCCCGGGTTTATCAATAAATTCTCAACTCGGGCTGTGTCAAATGAATTCAGTGCTGCTGGCGCCTGTGTCCTCCTGGCCATGCAGCTTTGCTCCTGGCAGCCCATGGCACGAGTTTTTGCTAATAAATGCCAGGAAAGAGCAGCCAAGAGGCTGGGGGCTGTGATGAAACAACTTCCACCCTCCCACTGCCCTGCAGCCTCCAACAGAACTGACAGCCGGTCTCTTTCAGTCTCTAAAGCTTTTTTAAGTTGGTGGTTTGGGCACAAATCTGCAATTTCCAGGTCTGTTCTCTGCAGAGTCGCTGCCTCTTCCCTACTCATCAAACAGAAAAACAAACATTTAATAGACTAATGACTGTCATCTGCAGGAATTTGCATCCCAGACTCCTTGGATAGAGCCCCACATCCTCTGGGACATGCACCTGGGCTGGGATAATGAGGGTTCAGAGGATTCCTTTACCTGGGTCACTGGTGTCACTCTGTGCTGAGCACCAGCAGCTCTGCAAAGCCAAAAGGGCTCCAAAACTCTTGGGGGGAAAAAAAACCCAACCCAGATTAATTTAAGATTACAGCCAGAAGAATTAGAGGTGAAACCAGCGGGTCTCACACGGAGGCAGTGTGACATCATATCCAAAAATTCCTCCTTGCACTTGTTGCAAGCTCAGCTTTACCTCCTGTGCCAGGGGAGGGCCACATCCATCTCCTCCATCTATTCCTGGAGTGATTTCCAGCCCTCCTGCAGAACTCACACCCTGCCCCTTTCAGCTGTGCTCAGCTGGGCTCAGCTCCCCACTCGAGATCAGGGAGAGATGCAGCAGAAAGCTCAGAATTCCCTCCTGCCTCGGAGACAGCTCCCCAAACCCAGACACAACCGGGCAAAGTTCAGCCCTGATGGATCATGGCTGGAGGCACCACTGCCTGCTGGGGGAAGCGAGGAACTGTTCTTCAGGTTACAGCACGGTCACAGCCTGCAGCTTTCTGCCCGAATTTCCAGTGCAGATGCACGGGGATAAGAATTCAGCAGCGTTAAGCACACGCCAGTGGCAGCACTGCTGTGTCAAAGGTGGATTTCCCAGCAGAAATCCAACCAGTCTGGCTCTGCTTCGGGTTTTTATCAGTCCTCCCTCCTCAGCTGCATGAGGTTGGAGATCCAGACTCTTCAAAAGATTTGCAGCTTGAAGAATCTTTAAGATCTTTTAGCAGAGGGGTTTGTTCTCTTTATTGGTTCAGGTTTCTTGCCCTGGCACCAAGAAATCACCAAAAACATGCCTGGCATGATGCTCTTGCCTTACCTCTGACATTTTCAGCCCACATGGGTGTCCTGGAGAGGGAGGGAAGCTGAAGAGCATCACAAGGAGAGGGAAATCTCCAATCTCCAGCTGCAGCTTCCAGCCCAATCCCAGTCCAGCCCTGGAGTGGGACAGGTTTTTGTCAAGGTTGTGTCTGCTAAGGGTGAATTAAAGCCAGGAGCCCTCAGTTCTCAGCAAACACAGTTGCTATAAGAGCTGAAAAACAGTCAATAAATGCACTTCAATTAAGCACTGCGGTGAGGTCAGATTTCTTGTTTTTCCTGTTTCACCAGCAAGTTTCAAGACAGCCTCATAATGAACCCTGGGAGCACAGCTCGTTACAGCATCAGAAAAGTTGCAAAATTGCACCCAACTTTGGGTTGTTATGTTCTGGTAGCTACACTCCCTGAAGGGGAAAAGAATCAAAGAGGAAGGAGCGTGTCTCATAAGGTAGGAACTTAATCCCAAATGCCTTGGTGCCAATGAGGAGATTCCCATGGTTTCAGTGGGTTTGGGATCAATACTAATGTGTGGAAAAATTAAATGACTCAAACCGCTGCTTGCAAAGAGGTGACAGTGGAAAAGTAGTGAAACAAACAACAAAGGGAATAAAAAGTTAGCTCATGCACCAGTCCAAACGTGGAGAGGATGGGAATTGGATGTGTTTTTGTGGTTACCTGGTGGAGTGTGGGTGAAAGGAAAGGTTTATTTTTCCTGTTGTGTGACTCTAATTGTTTTACCATGCATGATCCCTCTCTTAGTGCCACTTACTCAATGTGTGATGAAGGGGATGCAGGCAGTAGCTGTGCCTACAGACCCAGCAATGGCTACAAAAACAATTGCAAAACCAAAAAAGAGCCAGGAACAGGGAGTAAAGTCAGTGATAACTAAGGTTTGTAAAGACAATTATTGAGAAAATCAAAAGAAGAGGGATTGAAAGGAATGGGAAGGAGCTGACTTCACAAACAAACTGTGGGCCTGGTGGATAAGGCCAGATGTGGAGAAGGGAAAGAAGCAATGGGGGGAACCATAAATTCCATAGGAATTCCACATTCTGTTACTCCCTCCAAGCTGTGGATTTAGAGAAAAAGAAGAGAGACACAAGGGAAAACAAAGATCAGAAAGGGGTATGAGGGGTTTTGGGAAGTCTGTACCTCCCAAGTACCTCAGCCAATGGAGAAGGAGAGTGGGAAATGTGGTCAGGAAATTGGGATAAAAAGGAGGCTGCATCCTCTTAAAATTTTGGGAGTCCCCATGGGGAGTGCCCCGTGGGCTCGCCCTTTATTGGAGCAAAGTTACAGGACTCCTCTGTCTCCTTTTTGGACATAAACCTCTGGTGTTTGTGGATTCATTTTCCTGACACTGAGATAAATCCCGTGTTTTCACATCAGGCTGGTGTTTCCCACTGATTCCCAAGTGGATTTGTGTTCCCTGATTCCCTGTCCTGCCTTGCAAACCCCTCCCTCGATGCCTGCAGACGTCCCTCGTCCCTCCCAACTCAGCAGACCCCGGAACCATCCGTGTAGTGCAGAAGGAGAAAGGGGAAAAAACACATTTCAATCCCCAGCTTTTTATCCTTGGAGCATGTGGATCCCTCCATCCACCCCGCAGTGGCCACTGATCCCAATCCACCACCTCAAACCCCAGCAAACACGTGCAGAACCCGTTTTGCAGCCTGGCTGGGGCTGTTGCTCTAAGTTTCCACCCATTCCCAGCTCAAACTCTCTTTTAATTCCATAAAAACGGCAGGTGCTGAATGTTTGATCGGGCAGGGAGGAGGTCCCTGCAGGGAAGAGCAGCTCAGGGGACCTTCAGTGCTTGCAGAGTGGTGGTCCCATGAAAATCAGCACAAAAGTCTCTGTTTGGGGGCTGTCACAGAGCCTCTGGCACACCAAGAGGTTGTGCAGGGTGTTGGGAAGGACAGGAGAGCTCCAGTCCTTTTCCATGTGAGCAGGGACTGAATAATTCACCAAGAAATCAGCTGGCCAGTGTGGAAATAATTTGAAATTAACCGAGCCCTTAGGTATGACATTAACTGGATCTCTAGGGAAGGATGTGGATTACTGCAGCTGAATAGAGCCCTTATTTATCAGATGGAAAAGGTTAATGTCATTTCCTCTCCTTTCCTCCATGGTTTTCCTCACCACATCCCCGTTTCTGGCGAGCAGGAGGTGCAGACAGTGTAAGAACATGTGCTTGATTGTTTAAATCACCAGAGCTGTTACTTGGGCCAGGGAGGGGAGTAAGAAATTAAGATTTCTGCTGGTTTCCTGGGGAGAATTACAGGGCTAGGAAACATAAAACACGGAGGAAAGGAAAGGAAATGGGTTTTGGAGCACCTGGGCTTTGATTTGACATCCAAGAGTCCTAACTCAAGGAGGGAGTTTGTGCATTCTCATCTACCGTGGTGCCTAATGGGGACCAGGATCAAACAAATCTAATATTCTCATTCCATACTTTATAAAGCAGGAGTGCATTAAGAAAGGTCATTTTTTTTAATTCCCTAATGAAGTTTGAATACAGTTAAATTAAGTTCTACTAATAAAGAGTCTATGCTTTTTTTTTTTTTTTCTAATTTGCCTCTGGAGTCTCTAGAGCTGTTGACCTAAAGATAAATATCAGAGCAGTTCAGCTATCTATTATGTGCTCTGCTAATGATGTCAACAAGTTAATTCTAATGTCAACTGGGGAGAAAATTTCCATGTCAGGACTGAGCTTGGGCTAAGAGGAAACAAAAAGCTCTTTTTGTGGTAAAAAGCTCAAGACACCCAGGTTGGTTTCTCTGTCTCTGGCACAGGGATAATCCAGGTAGGGATATTCTCCTTCTGCAGTAACTAATATGGACCTAAACCACGCTGAATTCAGAACTTCAAGAGAAGGATAAATGTTTCTGACCATTTTGGAAAGTCAGGATTGCAGGTGCTGGCTCCTGTCTGTCCATGAAGAAGGATGAGTGTGGCATTGGGATTTGGCTGCTGACCACAGCTCTTCTCCCCTCCG